TGAGCATTTTTCTTTGATTAACAGTTCAGAAGGAAGAACTTTGATTCCCGTGGGAAAGGAAGAACTCTAATAGAAGAGAAATAAAGCTGTTCTTTTCCCACTTCTCCCCTTTCTTACCCACACCCCAAGACGAAATTGAATAGAGCAATTTTTAGCTATGTTTTTAGCCACATTTTCCTTAATTTCTGTTCAAAATTTAGTAAAACTGACTTCCCAGTCATAAAATCAGTGAAATTGCTACATGTCCAGTCACACTAAAATTGATGTTAATAGATGGAAAGAAATTATTACTGGATTTTGGAGGAAGATCAGCTAATTAGTATCTATACAGAACACACACACAGAAATGTCAAGTAATCACTCCCAATTTCCTTCACAAATTTCATTATAGCAAAACAGCTGTTTGTCCTTGTTTCCAGAGGCATTTTGTAGTCTTGTGTGTTAGAGGTTACTTCTCTGGAAGGCAAAATATTCCTTTAATCGTTACACTTTGAGGAATGTACCCCTTTGGTTAGCTCATATGGCGGTGTGTTAGCGAGTTCTGCAAATGTTTCCTGTGGGAAGAAAATCCCAAGGTAACTGTCAGCTGTGGGAATGAGTCACTTGATAGTATTGCATCCTACATTTGAAATCTGACCCCTTGTATAAAACCAGGAGTTTGGTATTATGTCATGTAATGTTGTCCTTTGTCTCTTGCTCCCTATCTCTCCTTGTTCCAAGAGTTCAAACAAAGAGGGCCTCCCTCCCTGTAGTGCTTGTCTGTATGCAGAAGCACTGGAAAACAATGAATTTTAGCTTCAGTAGTGCTCAGATGTGCGTGGCTCACATGCATCCCTTTGCATTCCTTTCCCTTCCATGCCAAGCACTGTATTTTGGTAGGTGCTGAAGGCAGACTGTCCTGTCCTGACATGCCATTACAGGAAAATAGCAACCAACCCCAAGAAACAAAACAACATAAAAACCAAACCAACCCAACCAACCAACAAAACCCCAAACCCAACTCCCTGTCAGAAACACTTGGGTGCTCTTCTGTTCTAAGAAAAAAAGATTTGCTTATTATGTGGCCAGAGGGGTCGGGGAATACACGCTGCCTGTCAGTGTGTAGGCAGCAGAACTCAGAACCTCTTCAGGAGTGCCAGTATATGCCTGCTTTAGTTGACCAGGCTCTCTTCTGCCAGACCCAAGTCCAACTCCTGTGGGAGCAATTCCTCACTATTCCTTCACAGGGCTCTCTGTCCCACGCCCTGCTCCATAATGCAGGCTGGCCCACGTGCAGCAGATTCTGCAGCTGTGTAGCACTGCTCCTGCAGCAGGTGAGGCACACAAAGCTTCCAGGTAATGCTGCAGGCTGTGCCAGGGTCAGTGGGCTCCTCCACCCACAGTCTGACAGTGCCTGCCTCGTATGGGACCAGGCAAAGTCATTGGATCAGATCATTGGTCTGTGCAGGGGCATGTAGGCTGCACATTCCAGGTCCATGCCTTGACATCCAACATGAAGGTGGGTTTGCCTGTGATTAATGCAGAGGTAGCTTGGACAGCACAGTCATCTGGGCAGCCTCCTGTGAACTTGTCAGTCGCTTCTCAAGCTGTCCAAGCCTCCCCTTTCCACCTCTCAGCAATATCTTCATTAAGAAACCTTTCATATAGTTCCTCCATCACACAGAGCGGTTGGTCCCCAGATCAGTTTCTGTGTGCTTTACATGCCCCAGCAAAAAGTCCAGCAAGAACTGTGGAAATGACATGCCTGTTCATACACCTCCCAGAACACATTCTGACCCTTCTTTGGGTCACAGTTTTAGCTCACATGATATTTAAAGGCTGTAGAAACAAGTGCAGCCTGCTTGGCAGTGTCTGACTCCAATAAAAAGGTCTGATCAATAGAGAAGCTTATCCAGGACAGATCAATGTAGCCAAGCAGAACAGCTACTCACCTTCCTGCTGTCATAGTTTTCCTCTGAGATCACCCTGCCTTGTGACTGAAGCTTTCTATTTTGAAGCACATGGGTACAGTTCCCTCTCCAACCATTTCAATCCTGAAACCACAGAGGGCTGTCTCATGCATCACAGGACTCCTTAGGAAGTCTGCCTTTCTTTTCCTTAGCTCATACCACTGGTGGATTAACATTTAAAACTTATGAAAGCCTGTTTCTACCTTCTGCTGTCAGTGAGGGCTCGGTTTTGGTGGCAGTCATAGAATCACGGAATGATTTGAGGTGGACGGGACCTCTGAAAATCATCTAGTTCCAACTCCCTGCCATGGGCAGGGACACCTTCCACCAGGCCAGGTTGCTAAAAACCCCATCCAACCTGGCCTTGAAAACTTTCATGGATGGGGGATAACTGGATAACTTGTTTCAATGTCTCACCACCTTCAACATTAAAAAAAAAAAAATTCCCTATATCCAATGTAAATCTATCCTCTTTCAGTTTAAAACCAGTGCCCCTTGTCCTGTCACTACAGGCTCTAGTGAAAAATCTGTCATCATTAGGAACAGGCTAGGTCCTGATTGCTTGTGCTCTTGTCTACTTTCATTTCCAAAAGGCTTTTCCAGAAGTCAGAAATGTAACTTTCTGGCATAATACTGGATTTATATTCTGTTCAATTCAAATTACCTTGCTATGTGCTCTTTGTTATGTTAATGGCTCTCAGGGATGCAACTTCCCTGCTCATCTTGGATGCCAGGAAGGTGTTGACTTTTTGTTGTCTGTTTGTTTCTGTTTTTATCCTGCACAGAAGAGACTCTTTCAGAAAGTTAATTTCTTCACATCCATACCTTAGCTATTCCCAAGCCCCAGAGCATTCCTGGCATTTTTTGAGTGGGGTCTTCCTCTGGTCCTGCATGCTCTGGTGTAAGCTACTACTGCTGGAGGTGACAGGCAGTGTGTACATGCTGGCAAGCATTTGACAGGTTGCTGACCAGCAGCTGGAGCTCACTGACATATTACAACACACCTCTCTACTTGTTTCTCTCACACCCCTGGAGATTATGGCAGCCACTTAGAATAGCAAGAATAAGTGGAACTGGGGAACAGAGGATGCATCTCATTTATTTCCATTGCAGTTGGTGCAAGTTCCAACAGAGTGGTAACAGCAATGCCCACCATGAAAGTACAGCCCGCTCTCTTCCTCTGGGTGCTCTGCAGAGTCCCTTCACTTCTGCAGAGTAAGGATCACCAAAGTCCCCTAGGAAAGCTTTCCAGGATCATGTCCTCTTAAGAACAAATTTTTTTAAAGGTCACTATGCCTATAAATCAATAGCTAGACATGTATCTGCATCTTTAAACATCTACACAATCAGGGAAAAAAACCCAAACAAACAAACCAAGCAAAACAAAATGAAAAACCAAAACCCAGCCAAACTAAAAACAAAACAGAAAGCAAACAAAAAAACCCCAAACAAACAAACAAAAACAAAAGCAAAACCAAAACCAACAAAACCAAACCAAAACAGCACAGATTTTAGCTATGCCTGAAGAAAGCAAGAAATTATTTTAAATCCTTCACTCAGCAGCTATCACTTTGAGGCTATGGAGAGGGACACCCTGCTTAAACTCAGCTATTGAGTAGCTGTTGCCATGAAAGAAAAAGTGTCCTGGAATATGCTCCTGCTGCCTCTTCAGGGCTATCTTTGTCCTTCTGGGCTCTCCAGACTAGGCTGGGAGCAGACAGTACTGGATGAACAGTTACCTGCTCCTAGTGGCCAGCTTTCCTGCAGACACACACCTGTGTGTAGCTGTCTAAACACACATAAACAATAAAAAATCTGCATACTTCACAGTTCATCCAACAGGTTATGTTGGAGGAAGCACATGTTTAATGTCACCAGGGCAAGTGGTTGTTCCTGAGATGCCTGTCCTAAGTAACAGTATTTTCCTGAACTAACACAGACGTGAGCTTCTCTCCCCAGTATGGTCTGACCCTTACGCAGCTCCTTACAATGTCTAAGTATTAAATATCCACCTAAATGCCACAATGAAATTGATACATGACAATCTGAGATTTCATCTTCCTCTGCATGGTTAGTTAAACAGTAAAAATCAGCAGTACTTCACAGAGCTCCTCACTGATCTGTGTCCTCCATGAGAGCAGAGTATCTATCACTGCCATGGTTTACTCATAACTTCCTGACACACCTGCTGAGAAGACTGGCCTGGCTGAACAGAGAGCTTTGGCTGGAACTCAGTAAAGAAAAAGGGGAGTTTATGACCTCTGGAAGGAGCAGTAGGCAACTCAGGAGCCCAACAGGGATGTTCTGAGGTTATGCAGGGAGAAGAGTGGAAGAAACTGGAACTTAATCTGGCTACTGCCATAAAATACATTTTTAAATGTTTCTATAAATACATTACCAATAAAAGGCTGGCTAAGAAGAATCTGCATCATTTATTGGATGGGTGTGGGGGGAAATGTACTGACCAAGAAGGTTGAGGTATTTAATGGCTTCTTTGCTTCACTCTCTGACAGTAACAACAGTTGTTCTGGAGGCACTCAGACCCCTGAGCTGGACAAGAGGAAGAAGAACGTAGCCCCCATAATCCAAGGGGAAATGGTTAGTCACTGCTGTACCATTTAGACACAAGTCTATGGTGCTGAATGGCATCCACGCAACTGTACTCAGGGAGCTGGTGGAAGAGCTCACGGAGCCACCTTCTATCATTTACCCACAGTCCTGCCTCGCCACGGAGGCTCCAGGTCACTGGAGGTCAGCCAGTGTGATGCCCTTTTACAAGAAGGGCTGGAAGGAGGGTCTGGGAAACTACAGGAATATGCCACTGCAATCAGTATCCTGCTGTATTCTTGGTATAGCAGCAGCATATGTAAGCATGGAGTTGGTACTGTTAACCTTTAATTAAGATTAAATAATGAAAAAGGAACTTTACATAATTGAGGGCTTTCGCCCTGTTTCATGAATACGGAAATAAAACAAAGAAAGCCATTTTGCTTGATGTGATGTCAGCTTTAATGTAACCTTTCTGATTAACAAAATTAGACAGCAATTAAATAGTGATCAAATCAGTCTTTATTGATTCATTATTTATAAGAAACCTCCTGGACATGTAAGTGTTGGATCTTTTAACTTACAGTACCACAAGACAAAGCTAACAGCAAAAAGTGACAGGCTTATTGCATGATTATTGATGTACGCAGCAGAGCAAGATAACATTCTGACACAAGCCCTTAAAAAAGGGTACTGTAATTTTGTTCAACCAAAATTCATATTTAACAAAAAATATGTTTTTCTGCAAAAATCTTACGCTGCCACATGCAACCCCTTGTTACTTCAGTACATCCTGTTTGGGCACTTTTAAGTTTTTCCAACGCCTCAAAATAACTTTGTATTTTTCACTTTCAGTTTTATCAGATAATTTTTTTAAGACTACCCGCATAACTACAGCAGTTCCTGTTTCTTTATCTTCACCTATTATGAGATCCAGTGTGTCACCAAGTTTCACCTGGAAACAAAAAGAGAAGATGAGTGATTATAAACATTCCCTGGGGGAAACAAATCCCTGCCATCTTCCTTTCTTTCCACTTAATATTCTTATCTCACAGGAGAGGAGGAAGGCAGCCAATACCAGGCCTATTATAGATCCTCCAGTGATGAACTTCTAGGAAAGCTGTGGCAATACGCAATTACATGTCTCATGACCTTCCCTGCCAAAAGCTTCACGCTCCGTGTTATACAACCAACACCTAACTCTGTGAAAAAGGTTTCATGTGTGTCTTTTCTTCCTGTCAACACAGACACAAAACAGCAAAGTGCGAAGTTCTTCCTCCTGCCTTTAAAACAGTTTAAAGTGTTTCAAAGAACAGAGTGCTCAGAAACTGCTTGTGCTCCTCTCAAAGGTCACAGAAGCAGTACACCTCTCATAAACCAGCCTTAACTCTATGGGATCAGGAATCAAATCTTCTCATCACATTGCCCTTTGATGACAGTAGCCAGCACCGAGGATCACCTCACATAAAGAAAGGGTTGGTAGAAGGACATGTCTCGTGACCCTTCTGGCTCTCTCCTAACTGTGGTCCTGGGTGCTCTATTACAGGTGCAACAACCTTCCCTCAGCCACCCCAGCTTCAATCCCTTTCTATCACCAAACTTCCTCTTTTTCTTTAATCATGTGCCTGCTCCACCAATATCTCAGATTCAATCATTCCTACTCCATCAACCTTGCACAGTGATATCATCACTTCCTTCAGCAACTTAAAATGTTCCGTCCTTGCTGCCTTCTCCTGACTTTCAGACTTAGATTTGATTGTCCAACCACACAAGTTTCCTGTCTGCCTTAGGGAATAAAGTTTTACCCAGAGAACCATGGTCACACCATCCCCCCCAGGTGGAAGTAATGTTAGCAATGCTGTGCATTCATCTTTGCAGAGTGATCTAGAGGGAAAAGACCATGCCTTAGCTATTTTCTTGTACTATATTAAAAAAAAACAAATTAAAAAAGTCTTACAGTTCTACTTTTCTTCCATAGTTTTTCTCCATTCAGCCTGAGTTCATTATTGTAGAATGCATCTTCTACTTTACTGAAGAAAAACAAGGTTTTATTGCAGTTACAGTGTGCAGCAAACCAAATGCAATTGTTTCTTTGCAGAAACACAACACCACCATTCATGGGCAAGGCACATTTCTACACCTCTAATTTGTGTGTAAAGGACACCTTCACTTAAGGTCAGGACAGACTTGAACTGGAAGTAACGAAAAGGGCTTTCACAGATATTAAATGAAATAATAACATATAGTTGCTCTGTGCCAGAAAAGCTGTTTCTCGAGATCTGGCTCCTGAATATCCAATAAATATCCCCTTTCCTGCACCAGCCAGTTTAATAATTTGTTAGTGATCAAGTTATACTAATATTCTGTTCCAACAACATAGTGACATCAGACTTCTGCAGGTTGCATTAGATCAAACACTGATATATTTATACACTGCACATTTACCTGGTGGACCTGTGAAGCTTATACTTACCAGCCCCTGTTTCTCCATTCATTAAATAGTGCATTATTTTACTCCCTCAGTCTCAAATTAGACCTTTTCATATTACACAGTACAGTATTTTGCATTTCCTTAATTTTAAATAAATATGAAGTGATACAAAATGCCTCCTCAGCAATCTCAGAAATACTGCAGACAGTGAAAAGCAAAATCAGGCTGTTTCAAGGGGGGTAGGGTGAAATAAACAGGAACATTCATACATTCAAAACATAGATTTAGAGAGTCAAAAAAGCTACAGCAAAAAAAAACCCCACAAATACGGAGTTGTTCTAACAATAAAAACTTATCAAAAGTCAAATTTTAGATGCATGACATCTTGCTCAGTAGCAAGCTGTTTCTTGTGTACTTACTTTCTTGCCATGTCTAGACCAGCTTTCAAGATCACATCATATCGAAGAGACTGCACTACTTTTTCAAGATCCTTGTAATCTTTTACTACATTGGGGTCATTTTCAAATTCATCTTCCAAATTACTTTCATCTTCATCCTCTTCTTCCTCCTCTTCTTGTACACTTTGTCTGCTCCGTTTAGAGCTTTTGCTGCTTTTGTTCCGCAGAGAAATTACTGAGACATACTCTGGAGAGAGTCTTAGTGCACTGAGTCTGACTGGGGAAAAACTGAAACATCTCCTGTAGTTTACTGTGCTTGCTTGACAGCTACAGAATAAGCTTCTCCTCCAAGTGGGATACAGTTTATTTGAGGGAAGTTTCTCCCACAGTCCGAACCAGACATTTAGTTTTCTGAAAGTGCTGATGGGGAGTCTGAAGCCAGTCATAGCATAACCTAAAATAAACCAAACATTCATATGTAAAAATGAGCAACTGCTTTGACGGATTGGAATGGATTGGAAGGATTTGGCGTAACAGTTCCTACAAAAAGATGGGTATCCAGTTCCCCATACAGTGATGCATCACCTGAAAGCACAAGGCTTTAGGTGGCTTTATGATCCGACTTTCTCATACACTGGCCAACACGACAAAGAGCTAAGACACCAGATGAGAAACAAATGCAGAAAAGCCCAGCTGAATACTCCTTTTATAATTCCTTTTCTGGGATCAGCATTAACTGTGCAAACACATTTGTGGCACTTTCCTCCCTACATCCGAAATACAATTCACAAAATACACAGAAACGCTGCTATCTGTGTCATAAAAAAGCACAGGGAGATCTCTATTTAACATGAGTCATTGTCAATACAAGCAAGTTGCTGAACACTGCAAGCAAGCAAATCCGGAGAAGCCGAAAGCTGCTTAACCTCCGTTTCTGCTTGGACCACAACACTCCCGCGTGGCAAAACTCTGCACAGCGTCCCCCCCTGTTTCTCCAGATGGGAACTGGCGCCGTGCTAGTGCTCGGCAGAAACAGCAGGGCTCTGTACCGCAGCAGGAGTGACACCAGGAGTGACACCAGGAGTGACACCGGCAACAGCAGGCTCACATGAAAGCTCCGCGGTGCTGCTGCTCCTCTCTCTAACCTGGGACAAGTAGGTGGAAACACCCCCAAAACACTCCAGATGTATTTCAACGCTCCCAGAAACTGATTTACAGCCCCTAGTAGCTGGGCGCTGCGCTGGCTTTTACCGTGATCTTATATCCAGGGAAACACGTGCTTCCTTACCAGATTATTCTGGTTTCCCCGCACCCAAGTGACCCCTGCCGAAATATTAAATGAGGCGGTATTTGTGGCTGAGAAAAAAAACCCTGATCAGTGAGAGCAATTACTGGCCAAATAAAAATAACCACACCTCCCCCGGCTTTTTTCTTGTATCTAAATATGTGAACATAAAATATATGTCAAATAGTTTTAATTGTAGGACGGTACAGCGATTGCAGAAGACACAGGCCTCTCCTCACTTCGGGGGCAAATTTCAACAGTTATTTGAACGTGCAAACATATATTATTGCTTCTTCTCAGCGCTCGACCTTCGTTTGTTCGGCGCAGGCCAGCGGCCGCAAGCAGGCCAGCAGGGCCGTGAGCCGGCCCGCCGCAGCAGCCGCGCCCTCTCCGCCGCGCTGGAACCCTCGGGCGGCCACAGCCTCGCCCGGCACCCCCTGACCCGCCGGCGGGCGCTCGGTGGCGGCGGGACCGAGCGGCCCCGCCTTCCCTGGCGGCTGCCCCGGGAGGCCGCAGGGGCTCTGCCGGGGCCGGGGCTCGGCGGACCCGCTCCGCGCCCCGGGGCCGCTCCTTCTCCGCCCCGTGCCCGCCGCTCTGCGAGCCGAGGCGCCTCATGGAATCACGGAATGAGCAAGGCTGGAAGAGCCGCAGTGGTCATGTGGCCCAACCACCCTGCTCAAGCAGGGTCACCCCGGAGCACGGGGCACAGGATTGTGTCCAGGCAGTTGCTCCAGTGAGGCAGACTCCACGAGTTCTCTGGGCAGCCTGTTCCAGTGCTCGGTTATCCAAGCAGTTCTTCCTCATGTGCCTCATGGTGAAACTTCCTGTGCATCATTTTCTGCCTGGTGCCTCGTGTCCTAACAGTTGGCACCACCGAGAAAAACCTGGCTCCATCCTCTTGGCATCCTCCCTCTGGATATTTGGGGCTGTCTCTCCCCTTCTGCGCGCTGTGCCCGCTGGCTGGGAGCTGAGGCTGGAGGGAGCTGGGAGAGAGGCAGGAGGGCAGCAGCTGGAGCGGGTATCCTGCCGGTCCCTCCTCAGCAAGCCGGGGAGTTCCACGGGAGGAGCCCTCTCTGCTTGGGCCACCTCTGCCCTGTCCTCTGCTGGTCCAGCCACTGATGGTCACCTGCTCCACTGAGATGTGCTGGAGCTGTTTCCCATTATAATTTTCCCAGCTTTCTAGGGCAGTTTTTTTTTTCTTTGTTTTCAGCCCCTCATGCTCTGACCAAACCAGAAAAACATGAAAATCTCTCACCGGGGAAATCACTCCAGCAGAAGCGCAAGTTTTCCAACCACAGATTGATTTGAAGGGCTTGGCCACCATGACAATTTAATCCAAACCCCTCTGTGGCTTATGTTTTCCCTTATCTTTCTTACTTTCCTTCACATAACATCTCCATTACTGGAGGTAATCCATAATTCCTTCTGTGGAGCTCAGAAACTAGGAGAGATCCCTCCCTCTTCTGTCTTCTCCCAGATTTCTCTACGCTGTGCGGCAGTCTCTTGGTGCTTCTGAACGCTCCGATTTCTCAGCATTTGGGGAATTCTCTGTATCCATACAGGCACAGAATTGGTAGCATTTTGCCCTCATGTAAGTGGCTGCACAAGGTTAAGGGTAATTTTGGCAGATAGAAAAGCGCCTCAATTTTACAGCTTTGCTTTAAAATGCTGGCCACCTCATCTGACAGACCAGTCATCCCTTGGAAATATACTGGCAAATCTGAAAAGTGATACAGCTGCAGAACTACTGCAGAACAGCAGCTGTGCAATTAGCACGGGCATTATAAGTGTTTGCTTAATTTTACACCTGTGTAAACTTTGTCATAAAATGTTTGAATGGGAGGTTTTTATATCAGGGATATTTGGTAATGGAGCAATTAACGGGCAAAGCTGTTTCCCCTCCTTAGAAACTTCACTGGGAAGAAATCTCTGAACACCTTTGTGTCTTTATGCCTTTTGAATGTAACAGTATTAAGTCCTGTGAAATTCTGACCAATTTCAGTTGAGAATATAGCCTCTAACTTTTTTAGCACCTTCCCCCCATATATCATAAAATATACATACATACTTACTGAAGGGGGGAAAAAAAGAATGGTAAGAGTAACTTTCTTGCATTCATAGTGGAACATAGTGATTCAAAACAGAAAAAAATATCAAGAGCAGCATGGATTCCCTTAGCAGAAATGCTACCTTCTCCAAGGAGGAAAATCCCCTCAGCCAAAACCCAACAAAAACCACCCCAAGCCATCCTTATTACACCTTCATATTGAACAGCAAGGTAAAGAGAGTGTCTGAAGTTATCCCATCTTTTATATTTTAAAATATGATGATACAGTTGCATCTCACAGAAGCAGAAATTAATCAGATGCAGAGGAAATGCAACTTGGTTGTCATGAACAGGCATCACGAATCTGATTTATCTCATCATTTCGCAACCCCAAACAGAGACATCACCTCTGTCACACTTGCTTAATTTCCTAGTCCAGCTAAGAGGGCAACTGTTCCAGTTGTACTAGTTGGAAAGTACATCATGTTATTATTACATCTCAGTCATGAAAGCAGATGCTTACCAAAGTTTTTTGGGATTTCCCCCCTCCACCCTCCCAGGATTCATTCAGCCCTGGACTGTAGAGGAACTTCAATGTCTCTCAGGTCTTCTTGTCAGACTCCAGCCATGCCACAGAGTTGAAGGGTCATGAAAGAGAACTCCCAGCCTGGGTCAGTATGCGCCTTTTTTAATAAAAAACAATGCAAAAATTAAGTTAAGAATGATTAATCCTGCATTATATATATGGAACTGTAATTACAACCAGAATGTTCCGAGGGGGTAAAGACCTCAGTGTAATTGTTCTCAGTCTACCATTAGATGGCGGTGAAAAGCTCCTCTCAAAGCTGTCACGGGCTCAGGCTTCCCGCACAAGAGGCTTTGCTCAAGCACTCATCAGTCTTAACTATCTCTGGGCAGGATGTTCTTTAAGCTGCTTTCAGATGACTTTTTTTTTTTTTTTTTTTTTTTTTTTAATAATAAAACCTCAGCAACATACAGTCAAAAGTTTCAGTTTCGGTAAGAAACAGTAATCATTCACCTCTGACAGATTCATGGTGGTAGATTTTTTTCTTATTAGTCTGTCCAAGATGTGTTCTTGCCATGGCTATTCTCATAGAATTAATAATTTTTTTTTTTTTTCCAATGGAGTCATCTCCTCTCTGGGAAGAGTAATTCCTCTCTTGTTTGATTTTCATTTTGTGTATTACACTATACTCCCTATGCCATTCACTCACAAGGAGATCAGTCTTTTAGGTTTGATAGCTCAGAGAGGAAAATGCTCAGTAACTTTTGACCTGTATGTTTGAATCTGTAACTGGGAATTCCCTCCCCACAGCCTAGGGTTTTTTGTTACCTTTGTTTTCCTGCAAGGTCAGTCAAGTGACAGCGCTGGATCTGCTGACACTCATTGCATCTCAAAATAAAGAGCCCCATGCTGCCATTTGAGTGCTGTGAGTAGCTCTGACTGACATTCTGCAGTGCACATCTCACCAGGTTACTTGTCTCTGCAGATTTAGCTCCAGCATTGCGTTGTTGAGACCACACACTTTTTAAGTTACAGTGCTTATTTCAAGGTGAGAAGGTGACTGGACAGTGTTCTATGCATATTTATGCTGCCTGGCCAAACAAAGTGTTCCCATACGAGCATCACCTTTAAGTTTGTCCATATTCATTTGAATAATGAGCTTCCTGACTGCTAATTCACCTCTTCCAATGTCACACCTATTGTAACTGCTTAGCTGTTCTTTTTTCTTAGTCCATAGCCTACAGACAATTCCTCTAGTTTGTTACTTGCATTCAATCTGTTACCAAATAATCTTATTATCTCTTTCTCTAAAGCTCCTCTCTGAAAAATAACCTTTCATGTAGCAGAATCTCCCTTTCCAGCTCTTCCAGTGCTGCCTTTTCAGCTGACACGCTTCTCTAAACTTCCCTTTCTCACACAGTTGCCCATATAATCTACTGTGCTATCTTTTACCATGAAACATTTTGTTTATTCTCTTTAGGATACCTTTAATGTATTCAGCTCCTATCCCAGTATACTGAAACACCTGTTTCTCTCTACTTACCAACTCTTTGTGTTGTCATTTCATCTCTTGTGGTAACAGCTGCATTATGAAAT